GAATATAGCTATAGATGCTTATAAAATTGAAACATATCGAAGAACGTACGAGGAGGCCATCTACCCCCTAATAGAACATGGTGATTAGGAGGTTCCTAATGACCTTATGGTTGTTAACCCTCTAGTAATAGAAATACGGCAAGCGGGTAGACCGAAAAACACCAACCATATCCCCTCACAAGGTGAGGAACCGAAAAAAAGAAGATGTACTAGATGCCATAGTACAACACATAATGCAAGGACGTGTAAGGAAATTTTCCCAAAGAAGCAAAATAAAAGTAGAAAACATAGTGGGGGCTTCAAGAAGTAGGACAAAACCGAGAGAAGACGAAGGGACGCAAGCAACAGAAACCCAACAAAAGCAGGAGGCAAAAATCCTTGGGATGCAAGAAATAGAAAATCAAGGGATGCAAGACTCACAAAACCAATGGCCGAAATATGAAGAAGGAACATACTTTCCGTGGTTCGATTTGAATGAATGAAGTTTATTTTAAAAAGTGTTTATTAAGAAGTTTTCATAGGACAAAAAAATTTAGTATTCCAATAAACTTTTGCATTACTATTTCTTCAACTCCGCAACAAAATATTGTTAATTCCACGGTACTATTTCATCTACTTTATATCAAATAGTGTTCTTTCCACAATATTAATATTTTATTATATTAAAATTACGTTTTCATCAGTAAGGATTTTACTATAAAATGACTTTTGAATGCATATGATTTCATCTACTCAGTACCCTTTCTTTGATTCATTTTTCTAAAAAAAATTACTCCTCAATTTTCACTCACAATGGGTTCCAGACCACAGAGCGTTGAGGAGAACTTACGTCTAACTCGTGCATATATTACTACGTGTGAGAGCATCAGTGTGAATGATCCAAGTTTTTGGACCCGTTTAACTTATACCTTCAACGTTGATCCTCAAGCCACTGCAGGAAACTATCATAACACCGTTGATACTAAAGCAAAATGGTATGAAGTAAAAACAAAAAATTTGTTATTCAACGATCTTTATAACAAAATTGATGACACACAGTTGAATGAAGATGAGGAAGTGATTTTGGAGGCGGCGAAAGAGGAATACAAATCCATTAGCAACAGGTCGGAATTCGAGTATGAAGCCCCTTAGAATCTTGTAAAAGATCTCCAATGTTTTTAATTTGTATTGTGGTTGTAGTAGGTTATTTTTATGTACTTGGTTTTTATTAGGTTATTTAGATTTATTTGGTTATTTTAAGGTTATTTATATGTACTACTCTGTATCAGGTTATTTTTATGTATTTGGTTTTTATTACGTTGCTTTCATCATCTGTGTAATAAACTACAAACACCACAAATACAAATATTTTGAGTTGTTTTCTACTTTATTCCAAGGAACAGAACCTACAAACACTACAAATACATGGAAAAAGAAAACACAAACCTTACAAATAATAGGATAAAGAAGTAGCAAACATTACGCATAAAACATTACTGTCTACACAAAATATTGTTTTTTAACCAGATTCCAAACGTCCTCATATTCGAACTCACTTCCATTACGCTCCATCATGTAATGCTCTTTAAGAACTTGTAAAATTTCTTCATCGTCTTCGTAATAATATGGCCTATTATTAACATAATTATATCATCGATTGAACCATATGATTTTTCCTTTAATTCCATCCACTTATTAACAATATCTTCTTTAAGCAGGTGTTATCCTTCTCCCATCTCACGGTTGAACAAACCTATTTTCGGGTCCATTCATCACCAACAAGGCAATGAGAGGGAGCTATTGGTGTTACACCCTCGTAAAGTCGAACTTCATGTTAGGACCATCACTTTTGTTGTCATCCATGGACGTGGAGCATCGGATGATGTCGTTGCATTTGAAAAAGTTGGTACATTGCATGCTATTTCATAATAAAGGTGTGACTTTATTGAAGAATAAATGATTTCTTAAATAAGAAAAATGGCTATTAGTTGGCTCTGCAGAATGAGAAACAACTTTTAGGACTGACAAACAACTTTGCTAATTCCCAAATAGTTATGTGGACTTAAAAACAACTTTGTAGATTTCCAAACAGCTTTGTGGATTCATAAATAGTTCTGCCGAATAATGAATATGGATTTCGTTTAAGTTGGACAACTATTTTAATTTTTAGAACTTGTGGAAAGCCGTGAAAATGAGTTCATTAAATGAGGTGTTAAAAAAAGTTTCTCCAACTTACCGATTTTCTTTCATAATCTTCAAATAACCAATCCTAATACCTTCACATACATTAAGAAAGATTCATATGATCGTTTCCAATTTTGTTTTGTGGCATTGGGATGCGTGGTATGTAATCTTTTATACTAATTTTTTTTGTTATTAGAAGGTTTTCGATTTTCTAATATTTTTATCTTTACTTGCAGATTAGTACGTTTCTCATGTCTATGATACCAATCATATTCGTTGGTCATGTACCTCTTATTGGGACTTACATAACATCCATGTACATTATGGTTGCTTTAGATGGAAATCATGAAATCCTTCTCATAGAATTTGCTTTGGGAACCATAAACTGTGATGAGCCATGGGTATGGTTCACGAGGAGTCTGAAAGAATATTTAGTTGGCAGTACGAAAGTTGGTTTCACAAGTCATATGCCTGACTCCATAGACTTTGTGATCGAGAGAGTCTACCACGATTCATATCATGGCTATTATTGTTAAAATATAGCAGAGAAAATACAGACTTCCACCGGAAACAATACAATTGAGCAATGGAAGACATGCAAAACATATAATTTGTCTAATTTTTATGTGAGTTTGAACAACTTACAAAATGAGGTGAATGAGAATGATCTTCACTGGCTTGATTCCCTAAAGTACGTTTCAATGTGAAATTCATTGACGTTCTTGATGTCATCAATTGGATAAGAACAAATAGGCATGAGTTACCAATAACAACAATCATTCAAATGGTCCATGACTCCATGCAGGGAGTGTATGTTCAACGTGCTGCATTCGGATGTAAGAACGACATGTTATTATACATTATCATATCATAATTTTTATTTGATGATTTAGTTAATTTCATAGGGGAATTTCATGGTCTTCTGACCCCTTATGCACTTACGGCGCTTCAAAAAAGATTTATCAACTCTAATGGTTGTAGGGATAGGCATATTGTTGGCAACATATATGAAAGTAAGTATTTAACCACTGAATCCATGCAATTAGAACGTGGGATTTGTACTTGCGGGAAATGGAAAAAATGTGGTATACCTTGTGATCACACTATAGCATCACTACAAAGATTTGAAATTGATGAAATCCAGCTTATGATAAATTTAAAGTTACCTACTGCGGTGTATCAAAATGCTTATGAAACTGAGACGGTGAATCCTATTCCAATCCTTATGCATTAGAAATACCAGTTGAAAGTGTTGTCATCTTACCTCCACGACAATTTACTTGAATTGTAATGTATGGATCACAACAAATATTAGTTTGTATTTACTTTTATGTTAACCTTAGTTTTGGTCCGTTGGTGTTGATATCTTTTAATAAATAATGTGTACCTTTTAATTAATAATATTTACCTTTTAATAAATAATTTAAACCTTAGTTTTGGTCCGTTCCCGACAAACGGCTCTGCAAACTGACAGACAGCTCTGCAGACTGACAAACAGCTTTGTGGACTTGAAGGGTGTATAAATTGTCATAAATGATCGGTGAATTTTTGGTAAAGAGTTACAACTTATTACGAATTTTAATATGAGTTCATCTTCAAATTTCTATATTTACTCGTGCAATAAAGTTGATTGTTACTATTGTGATATGAGAGAGCTTTTTCTTGCACTGTCACCAAAGATGAGCGGGCCATATATGTCTTATATTTTGGAACAATTATAATGGGCTGAAGAATAATAAAATATAGATAAAGAGTCATCTCGGGGTTTCACTGAACGTCATGACGTCATTGCGGCAGAGTGCAATGAGGCTGAGGAAAGGATGCAGAATTATAAAAATAAAATCAAATAACATGAAGAATAGATAAAAAAAAGACTAAGAAGACTATCAAAATGACTGAAAAATGGCTTGCTAAGAAGGATGCACAAATGATAGATCTTGGGGAGACAAATGATAGTTTTGAAGATAAACTAAGAATTATGGACGACTATATAACAATGGAGAAAAATAAGTATCCATTGCAGTTCCCTTAAGATAATTACTGTTATTGTACGTTTATTTTGTGTTTTTGGTTTGTTATATGTATTACCTTCGAGTTTAAGTTATTTGATGAAATTAACTTTACTAGTAATGATGCACTAATATAATCATAAAATAAATGTCTAGTCTTAAAACAGTAATAAAACTACACAATCCAACTACACAAGCAACCTCTAATTGCCCAAATAATTCTTGCCATCCTATTACGGTAACCATTTCCATGAACATGCACACATATACTCCACAATCTCCTCTACCTCCTTCTTCCTGCTGCGGGACGTTTTCACCTTCAATAAATTCCACCAAAGTAGGTTTCTATCTATTGGGAAAATGCTTCCAATATGAAGTTTTCTCTAGTTCACTTAAAATACTATCACCTGAGGTTTTGAAACAACATTTTTCCCCATGATCTTTGAAGTAACCACACCATTTAGCTGAATCGTATATGGTCACTTTCCATGTAATGAGATTTAACTCGGCCAAAAACCAATGAATTTGCGGGACGTTGATGAGAATTAAAACCTACATAAAAATGTTAAATTATATATATATATATATATAGATATATATATATATATATATATATATATATATATATATATATACATTTAAAAATATATATGTAAAATTTGAAAATTATATGATATATAGATAAATATACTAACCCGATCAATATCCTTCCAATGAGGTCCACCAACTTTCTTTGCTGCTATTCGCCTCAAATAAAGATTCTCCCCAGCTTCTAAAGTGGTGCCATGAGGATTAATAGTCGCCCACCTAGCATTCAAGGGATTGATTTCATTGAGCAACCGGTGGCAACTCCACATACGTAGCAGGTGACTCTTTCTCCAAACCACCAAAAAATGTTTCATCATGGCCATCCATATTATCGAAATCATTCACACCAAATTGTCTTTCATTTTCCCATTTTTCAATTTTTGTGGTTATCAAATGATTAATAACGCCCGTTAACTTGTCTATTTTGCTTCCTTGTGAGGTGTTGTGCTCTACACCACGACCATGAGAGGGTGAGATGATGTAATCTGCTTCCTGGAACTGACAGTATTGAGGTGACGCAGAGCGTTGTTTAGGGGGATCTATTGCATCGGTGGAGACTCCACTCCGTCCAAAGTCCAACTCAGATACTGCGAATAGAATGACAATTGGATCTCAAATTCTGTTGCTTCAACAGCATGTTAAATGTTGTTTTCCTGCAAAATAAAAACTTTAACTTTAACTACATACCAATTTTTACTATATAATACTTTATAAGGAATGTATAAGTACCAGTAACACGTCTAATATATGTAAACATGGCTCGACGGTTAATTGTGTTTCTATTCTCCATGCCCTCATTCTTGGAAATTCATTTGCGGTGTGATAGGCATACTTCAAAGCTTCTGGAAATGTGTCTAAAATCCATATCTAATATAAATTTAGCATGTTAAGATTTGTCGATGATTATAAACACTTTAAAATGTGTAATATTAATTGCACGTAAAACTAACCTTAAACAGGAAGTGAAAACCGGTTACTGTATACTTCAACGTCTCCATGGGACCCACACTGGCTTGATCTCGTAAATATATGTAGATTTTCCTATAGCAGAGTCGTAATTGTGTTTCATTATACCTCCATAAAAGTGTACTCCATGCAAACCTATCGTAATCATTATAATTAATATAAATCATCTTGTAGCTATAAATAAATAGTAAATTTACTACCTGTTCCAATTATATACATTATCGGCGAGCTCAAACGCTACCGACGAAATGCACGTATTTGTATCATGTCCTATGAGACCTTTCAACAAAAACAACATATTCATAATCATTACCGCATCATCATCGCTACAAGTCAAAAGTGTTGGCCCTTTGATGTACTCATCTATATATTTTAGCCGTAAATCTTCATCTCTCAAATTTGGGAACAACCGACTCCGTAACAATGGTAGAATCTGGATTTTTGTGATCTATTACACTACCATACACTACACAACATAATGTTAATTCAATAACACATTTTTAAAATAGAAAAATCGATGTTACTAATACTAATTAGGGTTGCATATAAATTTCAAAACGAGGAACAGTTACATGAGTTCCATACCCATTGGATAAGACATCATCGTGTAATTCTTGCACTTTTCGGAATCGCCTCACCATTTCTCTTTTGTTCGATCCTTGGTCCGACAACAATCTCCATTGTCTTCGTTTTCGTCTTCCACATCAACTCCCCCAAAGAAACCCTATTTCCGCAGCGAAGGAAGCCAACAACGTCCTTTTTTTTGTAAATTTACTAAATTACCCCTGACACTTAAATCCTCAGAGAAATCCTATTTTCCCAGAGGCTTTAGCCGATCCGTAGAGTCCCCTATGTGGATCCGGTGGTCATTCTACAAATACTTCATTTTCATGGTTAAATTGTTAAACCCCCCACCCCCACCCCCACCCACCCACACACACACACATTTTATGGTTATTTGATGAAATTTCTCAAAAATAAATCACATTAAACACAATTTGTTATAAAATGATCCAAATATTATATCTTATGCTTAGACATGTCAAGGATGTGAAATCCATTTTGTGGGATGTGTAAGGTCTAAGAAAAGGGTAACTACACAAGCATCCAAATGTGCGAAGAAATGTATAATTAGGTTGTTTTGCATAGTGTTCGAAATAGGGTGACTAGTATTTGAGATTTGGTGTCATAGTTCAACTGTTGAGATATGTAGTTGTTTTGAAAGCATGCTCCAGAAATGTTTGCAGAAGAGATGAAGAACCAAAATAGATAACCCTTTTTTAAATAAGGATTAAATTTTGACATTTCACAAACCATTATGTTATAGAGTGTATGGACAAGAATTTTTCAGATAAAACATGCAGGTTTTTGATTTCACAATTAAAATGTGTTTTGACCATGGTTAAAAAAAATTAAATATGGGGAGAACCTAAGATTCGTGGAAAAAAATAATCCAAAATGGTCTCAAACGTCTAAATACAATAATTCAAAATGGTTTACTAGATGAATTATTTAAATGATATGAATGAAGTATGTGATTATTGCCAAATTGACATCGCCCACAAACTAAGGAGAGTTTATTTGTTGTAATATGAAGCTGGAATTTGAAACCGATATCGAATAATGAACTGTCACACGCATGGAAGCGTTAAGGGTGGATAAAGTGGACAGCTGTATATGATCCATATTTTTTTATTATATATTATATATATTTTTTATTCAAAAATGAAACTTATAATAACGATAAGAGTCTTTTTTCTGTCTCGTCTCTGGCCTTTGAATATATTTAATTTCTCAGGATCGCAAGTTGTTGGTGCCAAGCAATCAACATGGAGGGTGGTTGTCTATTTAATGACTAAAGGGATAACTTGTAGAGACTATTGTTAACAATTGTTAACTTATCCTTGGAGGATTTTGGTGTTCCATAAAATCTCTTAATAGAGCAACATATAAATTGGTTATCAAAAGTCAATTTAAAAACACTAGGAAAGTTTTTGGTTAATTTAGGAACAATATGTTTGAACTTTGTTTAATAAAAAATGTCTTGTGGGACTTGTCCTATATTGGAAATAATTGAGAGAAAAAAGTTATTCCTTATAAGCACTAGTAGATGATGAATACAATGGATGGGTTTCGAATGTGGTGTTAAGGTTACTAAGTTAGCAACTTTTTTTTAATTCCAATTTCGTTTATTTTATTTGTATTACTTTGTTGATTGCATGCTTCTATAATAACACAATAAACACATTAGGTACATACAATGTACCTAAAGAAAATGAACCAATATGTGAAATAAGAATTTGGTAACCATTACCTACTTGTAATATATTTAAACACTTTACTTCCACACTATGTACTACATATACATTATACCGAACCTAAAATCTTTATGATACAATGAAATATTAAAATGTAATACAATATATTTAAAAACAAACATGATTGTCTTTCGAATGTATGTATTACCAAACGAAAACACGTTTTAGCCACCAAAAACTTGATTTAGAAAAGAAGGGACAAACTCTAATGGCAAAGAAAGCAACGGGACTGCTTAAAAAGGGTATAAATGGAATCTAGAAATGAGTTGATATGAAAGTGGTGGTTTTGATGAGAGTTTGACATTCTTTAAAACATATTTGCATACCCATTTAAGCATGGATCCACTTGTGATTTAAACCCGTGCCCACCCTTTTTGTGGGGTATCCCAACTATTTATGGAAGACTATCAAAATGGTTTTCACAAGTTGAGCATGAGGTACTTTGGTGGGTAACAACAAGAAGGGTTAAATAGTTTGATAGAAATAATAAAAATGAAATTATTTATTTATTTTGATGTTATTTTTATTGTAGTATTGTATTTAGAAAACTATATCAGATTACAAAAGTTATTTAAATAGTTAACAAGAAAAATAACAGGAGATGTATGCACTATAAATGTGTAGATTTGAAGGAAAATGATTAAATTATAAAAGTTATAAGTAAAATATTTCATAGATATATAGAAAGAATAATTTATAAAAAAAAAATGGTTATATACGTTGCCTGATTGCGTCTGGTCAAATAAATACAAAAAACAAAGGTTTGGGAATGAGGCCCAAAAATAAAAGAAAAAGTGAGTTGGTGAAGCCCAATACTAGCCCAGATACCCGAAAGTGTTTATTAATTTTTATTTTTGTTTTGTTGTCTTTTTTTTTTTACAACAAAATGCATTAGGAAAAAAAAAAAATAGAAACAAACCGAGCGGGTAGCTGGAACGGTATAGGAGGATGAACAAAAACAAAATACAAAAGTGAAGCTAAAAATGCAAGGAAAGCTAAAACAAGATCGGAAAATAGGAAATGTAGCACCAAGAAGATTTAAGTTTTGATGAAATGGAAATTAATATATAACTTTTATCAGAAAGACTCAACGATTGGGGACTAGAATGGTTGGGATCAGTTACGGCTAGCCAAGTTCAAATATTGTTGTTCTTAGAGAATGAAATTGTCATTGTTTTTTTCGTTCTTTTCTTTTCTTTTTCCGAACGGCAGAGACATTATAAAGCTAGTAAGAAAGTAGAGAAAATCAACAAAAATCACATGCAAGAGATAGCGAGAGTTGGATCTTGTAACCAGGCAACCTAATTCATGTTCAGACTACAACACCTACTCTTAGCCCAAAGAAGAGAATGAGTAACAATCTAGTCAAACAACAAAATCTTTCTAGGAATTCCTCTACCAAAAATACAGTTATTATGAAACTGTCAAATACGACACCATAAGGTAATAAATGAGGATTCCAAGAACTCATTATGAACCTTAGACATCGTTATAGAACTAAACCAAATAATTCAATCATGCATGAAGGTCAAAATAGGCACCAACATATTTCACCATCTAACAAAAAGAAGCAATAAATCGATGGCCATGGAACACCCAAAAAAAGATGATTTACCGATTCCGTCTTCTGATCACAAACTTGATCACAATTTGGACACATAATAGAAGGCAAATCAAGACCTCTACTAGATAAATTTGTCCTAGTAGGAAGCTTATCCAGGTGCAACTTCCAACCAAAAACGTTAGGTTGCGTTTAGTTACGGAAAAACAATTTTCATTTTCCGTTTTTTGTTTTCGCTTTTCAATTTTCATTTTCCGTTTTCATTTTTCATTGAAAAATTTAGAGAACGCGTTTAGTTAAACTTATTCATTTTTCATTTTCAGTTTTAGAAAATTAGAAAACGTGTTTAAATGTCTATTTTTCTATCGGTTTTCATTTTTAAAAAATGGTAGTGATAGTAGGGTGTGGGTGGGGGCGGTGACGGTAGCGGGTCGGTGGCGATGGTGGTGATGACAGGCGATGGTGGTGGCGGCGTCAATTTTATCAGTGGTGGTGATGGTGGTGGTGCTAGTGACGGGTTAGTGGTGGTGGTGGTGATGGTAGGTCGGTGATTGTTGTGGTGGTGTTGGGTGGGTGGGGGTGCGAGTGTGTGTTTGTGTGTGTATGTGTGTTTGTGGGGTAGGTGTACGTTTGTGTGTGTGTGGGTGTGTGTGTCTGTGAGGGTGGGGGTAGGTGTGGGTGTGTGTGTGGGTGTGTGGGTATGTACGTGTGTGTATGGGTGGGTATGTATGTGTGTGTGTTTGTGGGTTGGTGTGTGTGTGTGTTTGTGGGTGGGTGTGTGTGTGTGTGGGTGGGTGTGTATATATGTGTATGTGTGTGTGTGTGTGGGGGGGGGGTGGGTGGGTATGTATGTGTAAGTGTGTGTGTGTGTGGGGGGGGGGGGTTGGTGTGTGCATGTGTATGTTGGTGGGTGTGTGTGGGTAGGTATGTGTGTGTGTGTTTGTGGGTGTGTGTGTGGATGGGTATGTATGTGTGTGTGTAGGTTGGTGTGTGTGTGTGTGTGTGTGCGGGTGGGTGTGTGTGGGTGGGTATGTATGTGTGTGTGGGGGTTGGTGTGTGTGTATATGTGTGTGTGTTTGTGGGTTGATGTGTGTGTGTGCGGGTGTGTGTGTGGGGGTGGATATGTATGTGTGTGTGTGGGTGAGGGGTGTTAAAGGTGGAGGTAGGTAGAAGTGGATGAAGTGAAGGGGGTGTGTGTTTATAGAAAAATTTTGGAATTAGAAAAATATGGAAAACAATGATTATCAGTTTTCCAAAATTTTCCAACTTGTTTGTAATTTTAGAAAACGGAAAAATTTCATTTTCCGTGAAAAATTTAGAAAAATAGACGAACTAAACGCGTTTTCAAAATTCTCATTTTTCTTGGAAAAATTTTCCGGAAAACGGCTCATTTTTCCGCAACTAAACGCACCCTTAGTTTTTATAGGAACAAGAGAATACCATATGGTTGTGATATCTAAGCAAATCAAAATTTTCTTAGCAATCTCCAAACGAGCAGGGCTAACCGAAAATGAACCTCAGCCAACTAACATCCACTTACGGGTCAGCATATTAACCAAAAAACTGAACCAAAACCAAATTAACCGAAATAACCAAACCATTTTAACCAAACTATTACCAAAAAAAGGTGCTATTGTTTTTATATTTGATTAATCAAATACATATGATTCAGTTATGGTTTTCATCCAAAATAGAACTCAACCAATAATATTAATAAATATTTTTAATATAATATAATATTAAATATATGGTATGTAATTAT